AGCAGGAAGACAGTTACCTGAGATTCCAGTTCTCAAAGACCATGTTGCATAATTATAACTACAAAAGGAGAAAAAGTTTCCATCAGATATTTCTGGAAAATACCTTCCGGATCTTCCTCAGACCAGACCCAGTATCACAGGCACTTGGGTAAAGAGCACAGACTAGGAAGAAAGACTCTCTGATGTGGGGAGAGGCCACCGAGGAGAGGAGTTTTCACGGAGCAACAGGTGGGCACAGACTTGCTCCCCCTTCCTGGTTCTGTCTGTTCCTTTGCTGATTCCATCTGGGTCTGAACAGCCAGGACAGCCTGGTGTGTGCAAATGTTCATCAAACCTGGAAGTTTGTGGACATAAATCCCTGAAGCTGCACCTATGCCCCAAGGATAAAAGGGCCCCGGTATCATTAGAATTGCCCTTCTCAGCTCCAGTGACCCCCTGCCTTCCACGGACAGGGCAGCACTGGCTCTTGCTCAGATTCTGTTAGTTTCTGTGCCCTTGGCGAGATCAACCAGAACTCAAACATTTATAGGGTGGGTGGATGTGTGGCCTCTTCTGCAAAGCTGCAGACTCAAAGTTCCATAGCACAACACAAGGCTGCTCCTTGAAGTCCCACAGGTGTTAATTCTGATTATTCCTATTTTCCTCTGTGTTGTTACCCTCACTCTCTTATTCCTTATTCTTGATATTTACCAATCCTCTATCTACTCTTAACCCTGTCTCCTTGGAAAATAAGCACATTCTTCACACCAGTCAGACCAGCCATCATTAAAACGTCTACAAATAATAAATGCTGGAGAGGGTGTGGAGAAAAGGGAACCCTCCTACATTACTGGTGGGAATGTAAGTTGGCAGAGCCACCAGGTAGAACAGTATTGAGATTCCCTAAAAAACTAAAAATAGAGTTACTATATGATCCTGCAATCCCATTCTTGGGCATATGACTCTAATTCAAAAAGTTACATGCATCCCAATGCTCACAGCAGCACTATTTACAATAGGCAAGACATAGAAGCAACCTAAATGTCCATGGACAGATGAATGGATAAAGAAAATGTGGTATATGTATACAATGGAATACTACTCAGCCATAAAAAGAATGGAATAATGCCATTTGCAGCAACATGGATGGACTCTGAGATTATCATACTAAGTGAAGTAAGTCAGAGAAAGACAAACATCATATGATGTCACTGATACGTGGAATCTAAAAAAATTACACATGTGAACTTATTTACAAAACAGAAATAGACTCACAAGCATAGAAAACAAATTTAGGGTTACCAAAGGGGAAAGGCTAGGAGTAGGGATAAATTAGGAGTCTGGATTAATGTATACATACTACCATATATAAAATAGGTAAACAACAAGAACCTACTGTATAGCACAGGGAACCATACTGAATAGTTTGTAATAACCTATGATGGAAAAGAATCTGAAAAGTTATATATATAAGCTGAATCACTTTGCTGTACACTTGGAACGAATACAACATTGTACATTAGCTACCCTTCAATAAGAAAAAAAATACACATTCTTCTCCCACGTTATCAGGGCAATTTATTCTCCCTCATCCTCCTTGAACAGCACTGTGGGAAGCTCTCTCTGTGTCTGCTTCCCGGTGAGCAATCTGAGCACAGGAACCTAGATCTTTCTCAAGTTGTGCATCTACCATCTAGCTCAGTTTTCGGAACAAAGGAAGCCATTGATATCTGAAGCCAACGAAATTACATAATCACGGTTAAGATCAGCTCGAAGTGACAAGAGTAGCTAGTGATGAGCTGACAAAGAATTTATACTCACATTTCAGTTCGAGTTTGATAAAATCTGTGTTCCCCAGATTTTCAAGAAACACTCCCCGCGGGATTAATGTTTTGAAGTAGAAAGAGATGTCCGCACTGGTTTCCCCTTGGAAAGTAGAGAAGTGCAGGTAGGATGATGGGTTTGGGAAAGAGGCAGCATTCCAGTAATTCCCTGTGGAAGGAGCAAAGAAAGAAAACAGGGTAATTTACACTTGATCATGGCAGTGATATAAAAGATACCCATTTCCTGAGTTTTAATACCTTTCCACTGACAGTAGCCCTTGTTTCTTCTCTGCCTGCTGAGCAACATTGCACAAAATCCCCACAAACATATCTTGACTTTCCAAAAGTTATATGTGGGTATGTATATAAGATATTTGATTAAGGACTGATAAACCCTACTAGGAGCAGTGCTGGAGGGGCTCTCAGGAGTGTATGTCAAGTGCAGAAGCCCTGCGGAGCGAGGAGCTGAGGAAGCAGGCGGGGTGACCGGCCAGCCACCTCCCACGCCTCCTGTTCCAAACCCCAGAGGCAAGCTGCTGTAAAGGGAGCGTCTCCTCCCAGCCCCTTCCTCTTCCTCCCTGGGGACTCCAGGGGACACTCTGACCTGTGGGTGTTTTGGGGGGTGGGAGTGCTGAGCTGAGCCCACCTGAGCGCTCACAATCAGCCTCTACCCTTGAACTCATAGGGTAGACACAGTTGTACCCGCCCCGCTCCCTACTCACTGCCTGGTAGTAGCCAGTGGCCCCAGGAGAAAGGCAGTTCACAGGACAAAATAAAAGTACCAAACTGGAGGACTCACATTCCATCAGAACAGATGGACTAAGAATTTAATATGACACCGAGAGTTTACACCAGACTTTATTTCCAGGGTAGAAATTCCTTTAGAATGTGCACATTTCTGAGTACATCTGCCAGCACAGCTAGGGACCAAAATACATGGAGATGCTTTAAAACAGTCACTAAAGCCTTTACCTTTAATACTAAGCCCATGTTAAGGTCAGCAGGTGAGGCCCAAAATGGAGTCACTCTTGCTAAGCCCCAGGTCAGCAAAGCAAAACTTAACTGAGTTTCTGTGCTCAGCTGACCCGGAGAAGGCAGGCCCAGGCCACCCAGTCAGCACTTGCCTGCTCAGCTCAGGGTACCTGAGGCTCCAAGCCTTCCCTCTGCTCATGTAAGGGGAGCAGCCCTGCTTCGACCACCAGCACACGCCCCGTGTAACTTCCTTGTCCCTGCTCCCTTTGGTCTGTAAACATCTCTCCTTGTACAACTCTTCAGAGCTCCTTTCTCTCTGCTAGACTGGAGGCTGCCTGATTCATGAGCTGCTGAATAAAAGCCTAGCAGATCAGTAAACTGCCTGTGGGAAATTTTCTTTTAACATCTAAAATACATGTTTTTTTAAAAGTTGATTTTGCCATATCTTTCCTTCGAAGAACACAATGAATCAACTACATTTACTCTGTTAGTTTCTATCCACAATATTTTCTCCTTCCTTTTATGCAAATAATGCACATAGGCAATAAGTTCAACTGCTTTTCTTAAATAGAGTTAACTTCGTGTTGGTACTGCTATGCTTATGCCATAAGTTCAAATTAAATATATAATGTTGCTATATTCTGAGATATTAAAGGATCCTCATTTAATTAATTCCATAACATCTTACGGAAAAACCCAAATGAACTTTTTGGCCAACCCAATATCAGCAGTCAGTCAGTGCAAAATATGTTTGTAAATGTCTCCATTAAGGTAAAACCAGTGCTGGTGGAGTCCACTGTTGAAGGTGTCCCAAAAGTCTTAGTGCAGTTTCAAGCTCTTTTTTAAAAATCTGCAATATCATAGCTTTTCAG